TGTCGCAGGCAAGCGGGTAAAGGCCCCCGTTCTCCATAGCGAGGGGCCTCCTTGGAAACTTCCAGCGCTCGCCCTTGCTTCTGTGTGGGAAAGCATGGACACGCTGCCCTAGGCCGGCGTGAGGAAAACACTGGCAGGGGTTGCCCAGAGAGGTGGTGGAGGCCCCATCCCTGGAGACATTCAAGGCCAGGTTGGACGGGGCTCTGAGCAACCTGATCTGGTTAGCGGTGTCCCTGCTCCCTGCAGGGGGGTTGGACTAGATGACTTCTAGGGGTCCCTTCCAACCCAAAACATTCTATGATTCTATGAGGAGAGCTGCAGGCCTGTGCCTGCTGGGAGAGTTCAGCTCCCTGCCCTCGATTCTCTGGGGGCCGCCATCCCCGAGGTCACCGCTCAGTGCGTTTGAATTAGGTCCTGGGTTTATTTAATCATTTTGCTGGAGTTAAGCTTAACGGGTATGTCTAACTCTCAGTAAAGGTCTTTCAGCTGTTCGATTTCTGGTAATGCTACTGTTACTGCAAGGTGGGGGAGAATTTAGCTGTGCTACTATCTCAAAGTCATTACTGTTCTGCTGCAGGTGGCGTAAGCACGCAGGCGTTGTCGTCCTCTGGCAGGTGCTCTATTAGCTGCTTCATGAATTTAAATGACACTTAAGATACAGAACTTTGAAAACTGAAGAAGCAATTAGTAACTTTTGATTCATGTTTTAACAGATGACTAGATTAAATCTGTTCAATGTTATTTTGAGCAGATAAGGTTTTTGATGAAAAAGTGTGAAGAAAAATCAATGCATGCAAAATAGCTACTAGATTAAAAGAGTAATTAATGTATTGATTAAAACTTTAGTAGTAGATAGTGAACACCTCTCTGAATCCTCTCTTGGCCCTGAAAAAAAACCCCAGAGCAACACACATGTGATTTGTTTTCAGGCAGAGTTAAAAATCTGTGCACCTTTCTTCTGCACTGTTCTATATGAGGTACCCTTCAAACTATGTTTTCTATTCTGAATAATAATGCATCTAAATAATGTCTTGTAATGGACTAATGCTAACTATTGATGTTTTTTCTTTTCTTTTTTTGACATGAGTTTTTCTATTTACTTCAGTCTCCTCTTCCTGTTTTTGACATGTTATTCTTTTCTACAGATCAGCTGTGTCCTGGGGAAACTTAAAAAAAAAAAGTCGCCTAGAAACACAGACAGCGGGAAAAGATTGAGCTTTAGTTGAAACTCTTCTTCTAGGGTTTGGTTTTAAGAATTGCTTGGGATAAAAAACTTCCCCTTTTCCGTATGACTTTGAAAAATCTTTATTTAATATGATTTTTTTTTTCCTATGGGCTTTTGTCAGCAAAAGAAAATAAAACAGTTTTACTTTAGGCTTTGTTCAACAAAAGAAATGGGAGGGGGTTAACACATTCTGTGCTGTGTCTTGATAAGTGCTGTTTGCTGCATTGCTTTTATGTGTAGGGGGTAGGTGTTGCATTGTTTTGCTTGTACTATTCAAAGCACTGAGATTGTCTTGAAAATGCCTTAAAAGTGGTTTAAAAGTTGTAATATCTATTACTTTCTCTCTTTGTTGAAGCTTCCTTGTTATAGCTATAGAAGCTATTGAGGTCTGTGTAAGACTATCGGTTTATCATTTGACCTCAGAATGGATATGGTCAGTAATGCTTTGGTTTTGACATGCCTCAGTTACTCACATTAGCACCACAGCTTCACCCCTATGAATATTAATGCACTTTACTCGGTGGTTTTGTCTTGAAGGCTGGTGGAGTTGCTGGTGTCTGTGTCGACTTGATCCTTTTTCCCCTGGATACTGTAAAGACAAGACTGCAGAGTCCTCAAGGATTTAGGAAGGCTGGTGGTTTTCGTGGCATCTATGCTGGTGTTCCTTCCACTGCTATAGGATCCTTTCCAAATGGTAAATTTTCTTTGGATTATGCTTTGTCGTCTTTAAGTGGGAGTTTATGTAGTATAGGACATTCATATCCATGGCTTCCTCTCCTGCAGGTGACCGTTTGGATTCTGTGAGTCCATGTCCAGCTGTGAAGAGTAGTTTTTAGAATTGTACAGTATTGAACAAACTCTTCAAGCAAGCCTGGAATGAAGGCTGCTGCATGTTTACTTTGAAAAGCAACCTTGGAAGCATTCCTGGATATGTCTTATAAGTCCGTCCTTACTTATAGGGGAACCCTGAAGCATTTCCAGGTGCCAAAGAGGGGTTGAGTCTTGCTTGCTCTGGACCCACTCTATCACAGCATTGGAAGTGCATCAAGATTCAAAGTGCTTGAGCCCTGGAGGTCTTTGAGCTAATTACCCTGGGGATGCTGTGCGTCTTTTTCTCCCTGTAAACAACTACAACACTTAAAATGAGAAGACATCAGGGACACTTTTGAAATGGAAGCTTTAAAGAAAGTAAATGCTTGTAGTCCCTGCAGAGAAAAGGCATCTAAAATTCTTAATGCCTTTGTCCATTTTGTGTTTGTAGAGAGGGATAAAAAAGCAGCAAGCTATGCTGTGAGTAGTACATGTTAGGGGAACTTTGCTGCCAGATCCACTGACACCTTCAGATGTTTGATGTCCTTCATGAGATGATATAAAAAAATTCAGTTCTTTATCTTGTCTGCTCTGTTATCTCCTTTTGAGGTGATAAGCATCTTTTGATTAGCAGAAGGCAATTCACATAGCCCTTCTTTACAATTAAAATCTGTTCCCCCGCAAGACATGTCAGTTTTTTCAGGATTTACATCTTCAAAATCTGAACTGTGTTTTTATCTTTCTAACGTATGACTGAAAACTGAAATTATCTTTAGGAGAAGTAGTAACCCTTAAGGTGCAAGTGCCTTTGGAGTTGACTGTTGCAGCAAATAAACACAGCTCATGTTGCTGTGCTCAGTTTAGTTTTGTATGTTTCTCGTTCATTGGGCAGGAATTTTACAAGTCCTTCAGAAGATTTTTTTTTTAATGGAGTTAAAGTGCAAAATATTAAACTGATGATAGCTGGGAAGAAGTTATTAATAACTGCTACTGAAACAGTTTTGCATATTGTAGGGTAACAGACTTGCATCAAGTACCTTGATGATTTTTATTTGGTGGTTTGTTTTTTTTTTTTTCCTTTTCAATTAATCAACTGATTTAGGTGGTTTGGGGTTTTTTGTGGTGTTGCTCCCTCCCTCCCCCCCCAAAAAAACAAAGACCATCCATCCAATTCAACCAAACCTCCTCTCTACCCTTCCTATCTATAAATGATACAATTTTTTCAAAACCTACTGGACATTCATGACTGACTAATACATCTTTCCTTATCTCCATACTAAATATGGCCTTAAGTCCTAACACTTTTGATATTAATGGGAGGTTTGCCAGAGACAGCCAGGAGCATGAACTTCTGAAGGAATTATCCCACAGATTGTGTTGATACTGTTGTACTATTTGGGGGAAAAAATACCCTGTTTTCAATTACAGTTGCAGAATAATAGGTGACAAAGTCCACCTCTAAATGTTTTTGTGCTAGTTCTGTGATGGAGGAGCAATTAAATGGTGGCATGTATTCTTGAATTTCAGCTGCTGCATTTTTTATCACCTATGAGAATGTGAAATCCATGCTGCACCATGGCTCTACATCTTACTTGACTCCAGCAACACATATGGTGGCTGCCTCCCTTGGGGAAGTGGTAAGAAACAAGTTCATATATTGTATTTCTGTGGGAGGAGAGGAAACCATTCAATTAAGAAAACCCAGGTTTGGTGTCATATCTTACTTTTCTGAGTGTTGACCATCTTTGTACTTGTGATAGTTTTTACAAAAATATTACATATTTTTCAGTGACGTGTGGGCACTTGTAAGGATTGTTTCATAGTGAATAAATGAGTTAGTAACAATTCTTAGTAGGCCTATTGGCTGATCTTGCTAAGTCAGTAGGTAGTGGAAATGTGGATCGTTCCAAAACTTGAATGCGCCTTCACACTGTAGTGGTTGTGTGTCACTGTTAACATTCAAGAAAGGCTTATACAGCCCTTCAGCTTCATGTGGAAAGGATTTTTATTTTAAAAATAGCCATAAGACTATGATGTTATACGTAAAGTAGGTAGGTGCCATCATCTGAAACCCATGCACCTTGACACATAAGAACCAGTATTAACTAATTAATAATTACCTTCCTCTCTTTCCTTTTTGTTCATTCACATTCAGCCATCAGCATTTACCAAAATATTTTATTGTATTTATAAAAAACCTCTCCTAGTGGATGTACAAAGTGATGTGGTAGGATAGGGCAACTTGCAGCTGTGTAACTTCACTTACCAAATGATGTGTAATGCTTCCCTGATGAAGCCTGTCTCAGTGGAAAGTGAAGCCTTTTCCCTTGGGACAGGACGTCTGTATATTTTAGTGGCAGCTTTTCGGGAGGTCTCTCTGATAGCTGTAGCCCTTAGTTTAGTATATTGGTTGGGTTATTGCAGCATAAAGATACACGTGAATAATGAAAATAATGTCTATATACAAGCTTTTTGAAAACTCTTTTACCCCACTTTTTGGAAAAGTTGCAGTGTTTCTTACCCATTACTTTGTTTATAGCAGGTTCTGGAGCTGCAAGTAATGGCTTGCTTTGTCTAGGTTTATACAATACCCAGAATAATTGGGACCAAATTCTGTTGAACACTTTAGATGTTATTAAGGAAGGTCACAAGAGAAGCCTCTCTTGTTTTGATGCCTAGGCTGCCCTTGCCTTGTTAACAGCATGGACTTTACGGAAATTAATTGTGTGTGTGGGGGGGGTTATTTGTTTTATATTGTAAATTACAAATGAAATAGCATTAACCTATTGAATTTAAGTAACAAAATACTTCTTGCCCTTGTGACTTTCCAATCTGGTATATCTAGGCTGCCTCCCAGCTTATATTGACCACTCCTTATTGAGAAAGAGAGGAGGAAAATGTTTCAGTACTAAGGAAATGTCAAGGCTGTATTTGAAAGTAAATTATAATTCCATAAAATTAATTTTGTTGCCAATACGCAACTCCAGGATGACTGGACAACCTCTAGATACAGAGTTGAAAGTTTAGCTCTGGCAAGAGCTAGTACGTGACACGCCATAACAGGAACTTCCTGTAGCAAGTGTTGAAGGAGAACACTTCTTAATATGATCTTGATGGGGTCATCAGGTGATGACCATTCCTGAGAAACTTGTCTATAGGTAAATACTGAAGATGCTTTATCCTACAACCTTCAATACTGTGTTTTTAAAAAAACTGTTTCTGAGGTTATTTGCAAACAAAAAGAGCAAGGTTGCTCTGGGTTAGCTGAATCAAATACATTCCAGGTGCAGCAAAATCCTTCTTTCCCCAGATACTCTTCTCATTTTTAACTGCAGAGTTGGCACAGAGCCTTGGCACAGAGCCTTGGCAGCGTTCAGGGCTGGGCGTTCAGCTGTAAACAGCCCGTTGCTGTTGCTGTTCCTGCCAGCACTGTCCACCTCCTTTCTCCTGCTCTTGTCCCACTGGGTGTTTCTTGGCACTGCAGTGATTAAATGGGCTGCGAATTACTGTGTCTCCACAAGTTCGGGGGAGGGAAATGGCCTGTAAGAAACTAGCTTTTCTGGCTGTTCTGCAATTTAAACTTAGTCTGTGATGTGGGGCAGAAAAATGTATTGTATATGTGTGGTTCCATATTCCGCTTTTATTAATTGAGTTTTTTAACCTCTTGTAGGTTGTTCCCAAGCTACCAGGAGTGCAGAGAGATCTATGCTGTTTTAGCTTAGCACCAGGTGCCTCACCATTATAGCAGCATAGCCTAGCTTCTTCCCACGGGAAGCAGTTCAGCTCTCCCTGCTCTCTGTGGGTTCAACTTTGATTTCCAAGTAATTTTTATTCTTCTGTGGAAATGATACTGATAAGGTTGAATGGGACTTAGCCAGGGAACTTAATTTAACACACCGAGCACATGAAGATAGGTGAATGAAGCACCTACTAACCGCTATGGTAGTGGTTATAGGCAGGAGTAGATAGATGGTGATAGATTTAGGGCTGGGTGGGATATGTTTGTGTTGCTGCCTCAGGTGGATTCTTTCTGATCTTGATTAGAGCCTGTGCTGTCAGGTTATGACTTCTAACTTAAGGCGATGCACAGAATTTATTTCCATGGAAATTCTATAAAGGCTGTTAGAGATCAGCAAGAGGTTCTTTACCACTATGGCAATGCCTAGCCCTAAAATTCCTTGTTTGCCTGACATCTCATGGAACAGCAGATCCAAGAGGTGTATTAAGCTTCTCAAGTGCTGTTTCAGAATAAGGCAAAACGACGATTGGCCTCATGAAGAGGCGCCAGTGCTCTGCGATTAATATCCACTGAAAAAAAAAGTCTTCTCTTTCATGAGTGGGTTATTTATAGTATACTTCCTCTGCCTGTGAGGATTCTGTGAGAAAACTGTAACTGGGTACTTTAATAATCAGCAGCCAAAGAACAGTTGGCTGCAGATGACTCCTTGCATGATTACAGAACCTCTTGTCTGTATTTTCCAAGGTGGTCTGTAGTTTTGTGACCCTTACAACTCAGGCACTTACTGCCTTCATTTACAGGCTGACAAATGGAGGTATAGCATAGTTAAATGAGTTGCTCAGGGCTGTGTAGTGTGCTTGGCTCTTGCAACTCTAAGGCCAGAGAAATACACGGTGCTAGCCATTGAAATGGCATTCTGACTTTATGGTGTGGAAACTGCGATGTTGTAACAGCCATTTTTCAGAGAGTAAGATTCTGCTTTTGCTAGCTTTTCTTCTCCTCTTGGTGTGATGGGAGAACTAGGCTGTAAAATAATTGAGATGGGGATTTAGAGATTTGCTACAATAAACCTGTAATAAAAATAGCACAAAGCAAGATCTTCTCACATTTGTTTTATATAAAGTTTTAGCTGATCAATAGAAATATATAAACTATTCCAAATTGCATCGGGGTGAGAGTTATAATTATAGTTTTATTGATTAGCTTTAATCAGGGCATAACCACTGGGACTATTATTTTGTCAGTAGTTTTTTTTTTTAATACGTACTTTTCCTCCTTTGTACACTTAAAAGCAATTTATATCATAGTAATTATTACAGTGTGAAATAATAAGCCAAAGACTCTGTCATGTTAGGATTCCCAAGGCATCTCTTTGCATTTCCAAACTGTCTTTTTACAAAATGGAGAAATTAAGATTTAGAGCAAGAAACTGATGCTGGATTTCTACGTTTGCTGCTCCTTTGCTGGTGAGCATAAATGAGTCAGCTACCTTCTTGTGCCTCAATAAAATGTGACTGTGTGCTATGCCTAAAGGTATGTTAATGCTGACTAATCTGTGTTTTGAATGCGACCCAGTAAAAATAATAAAATAGGTAAAGAGGAAGAAATGCCAAGGTTGCATCAAGATATGTTAAAATATATGGGAGAAATCAGTCAAATGGGACCTCTTAGTGTTTATAACAGCCACTCTTCTGTATTGTTTACAGCCTGCGTAAATTCATGGGAAACACAGTCCCCTGGAACTGGTTTGGTCCAATTTCCCAGTTCCAGGCTAGGAGGTGTGCAAAACCAAGCAGTAAAAGGGCAGTGGCTGTAGTGTGGGGTGTGTTTAGTTTTCGGTTTGTTGTTTGTTTGGTTTTTTTTTCCCCTTTCCTTTTAGGCAGGAGGAATATAGAAGGCTAATCTCCTCTCCCAGAGAGAGATAAAGAAAAGTACATACAAAATCCGACCCTGTTAAACATAACTATTTTTTCCTATAACTGAATTTTGCTGTATAGGGACTCTGAATATCCCATAGTACATGAAAAATTACTTACAAAGACACAGCCAAAACTCCAGAGGGCAGATACATGGTGTATCATCTCATCAAGGAAGAAGAAGGTTGAAGAATACATGAGTTACCAAGGGGGGGAAAACCTTTATTATACCACTTGTGTAACTGAACTTTGGAGATACGAAACACGCTTACTACATCCAGGGCTTTGGAATTTTTCATCTCTACATTGCCCTGTATGTTTAGTCTGCCTGTATCGTTACAGTGAGCTGCCAAATGTGCTTGGAAAACATGATATCATAGGGAGTGGAAAGGAAAACCAGATGTTCTAAAATTTTACTTTTAATATTCTAAGGCGCTGTAAGTAACTCTGAGAAGGAGCAGTATTTTTAACCTCTTGGTGCCCATTTTAAATAGTAACCAGGTGTGTCTTGCAGATCCAGAGTTAATTGTACAGCTCCAGATTGATTTGTACAGAATTTTTTACGTCAGTTTAATATGACAGTGTATACTATTAATTACAAGAAACTTTGATAAAGAGAAGTCTCCCTCTGGGCCTCCTCCGCCAGCCTCCTGCAAACATAGTTTTATGGGACAAGTTTAAGACTGTCCCAGTTTGACCGATGAGGTTTCCTTCATGAGTGCCAAAGTGGTTGGATTCAGCACAGTTAATTTTGCATCCTGCTGGCTTTTCCGTGGAGGTGAGAATGAAGTCGTTTGAATCATGTTCTAGAGAAGCTAGCTGACAACAGCCTTTTCCATCTAATATTTAGATATTGTTATGGTTACGATCTGAGCTTTGCAAGATATTTAGTGAAAGTTTTGGGCTGTTGCTTGTAAATATCAGGTTCAGTCTTATCTTTCTGACATCTTCTTTCATTTTTCATTGGCTATTTTTGGTGATG